GGGGGCTGGCGGCCGCTCCGCCCAGTGCTCGGGGCCCGGCGCTGAGGGAGGCCCACGTGGACGGGCCGGCTTCCTGCTCGTGTGGCCTGAACGGTGACAGGGCCCTGGCTCGAAGGGGGCCCCGCACCGGGTTCAATGCTCTGCTGTCTCCTCCTTGCATTTCCTAATTTTTAAACAAAGGACTGCACCATTTTCATTTTGACCTGGGCCCTGCCAAATGTGTAGCCGGTTCTAGTTGTAGGTTGAATATCCACAGAGCTCAGGGAGCTTGGGGTGGATGAACAGTTCTCGGGTCCCCCCTGAACCTCAGGAGCACAGTCCCATTGCCCAGATCTTCCCAGAGATATCCCCTAGTTGGGGGTCTGGCCTCATGGGGGTCTGGCCTTGACACCCACGGAAGGAAAATGGGAACGCTCCCCCTCCATCAGCAAACACTGAGCACAGATCCACTCGCCAGCCCCTCTGAAAAGGCCCCACGTAGGTGCCGGGGGTACAGAGAGAGAAACAAGGCCTCCGCTCTCACGGAAGCAAGGAAGGAACCCTGGGCACAGCGGCCACACAGGGGAGGCCACGCGGGTGCGTGTTCTGGGACGATTCCCCTCGTGTAGCGGAGGCAGGCAGTCACCCCAAGGCAAGGGGAGAGCAGGAAGGACTGCAGAGCCTGCGCTGTGTGGCCTGGGCCTTGGGGGAGAGACATCGAGTGGAGCCTTGAGGTCCCGTGGCCGCCTCCTGCGTTTCAAACCCCTTCTCTGCTCTCTTGCGAGAGCTCTTGCCCTTGGACTTGGTCCCCACACACTTAACCAGCAGGATTTCATCTCAGGACCCCCAGTATCCACGAGGACCCCATTTCCAAAAGGCTGCATTCTGAGGTCCGGGCGGGGGGTGGGGCAAGAATTTGGGAGACAGGGTTCAGCCCCCTGCAGGCGGGTGCTGCGGCTTCGCAGTTTTACGGGGAGGAAAGGCGAGGCCGGGATGCTCCGTCTGTGGCCTGGGAGGCTCACCGACCTGCCTCTCCCGGGGGACAGAGGTGACCCCGCCGGAGCACAGGTGGCCTGCTGGAACCTGCCTGTCTCCCCCCCCAGGTGAAGTTTGAGATGTCAGAGGACACCACCCTGGCGGACTTGCTGCAGCTGAACCTGCACAAGTTTGAGGATGAGGTCCGGAACATTGTGGACAAGGCGGTGAAGGAGTCCGGCATGGAGAAGGTACCTCGTGGACGGGCCCGTGGCTTGTCTGTCTTGTCTGAGGTGACGCAGGCGCTGATGCGCCACCCACCGTGTGCCACTCACTCCACGTGGCGCCAGCGCTCATGTAACACAAAGGGAAAGTTTCCTGGGCCTTTTCTTACCCGGCCCACGGGAGAAATCTTATAAAATATCTCCTGATGTTATTCCCGGGGGCGGGGGGGGGGAATGCCAGTTCCTGGCTGTAGCTCTGCCTCCCTGCCCAAAATGGTTTGCGCTTTTTGAAGCACCCCGAGCTCTCTCCTTTCCTGGGGCACCCCGACCTGTGTACTGTCTGCCCCTCCCGGATGTCGGAGGCAGGGGGCAGGAGCTTAATGAGCCGCCAGCCACAGGGCCACCCCGAGGCTCCTGTGTGGTCCGGACCTCTCCCCTCTCCTAACTGTTGCAGGAGTTTGGATCGCCACTTTTTGGCTTTTCTTAAAAACAAAACAAAACGACTTTATTCAGCGATAACTCACATACCACACCATTCGC